CAGGAAGGGCTGTATCCTCCCCCAGGAGTGGCCAAGCTGAACGCTGACGGTCCTTCACGTCATTTAGTCAAATGGGTTAAAACCGTCATCTCTTGCAATAACACTCAAAGACATGCCGGCATTCCGCAAACCAAAATTCTGCGATCATTGAGCAGTTATCAGTTGAGGAGGTCCCATGCTTGCTTACCAAGAAAGAATTCGATGGATTTTCCAAGTTATCGAGTTGTAAGAACAGTTATGTAAGAAACTATGTATTTGCTTAATGAGAGGTAGACGTATTGCACGTGATGCTCGCCTTTGTTTAGAGCACATAATATCTAAAAAGTAATACAAACAAACATAATTATGACATGAATATAAATGGCTGTATGAGGTTTAAATCATAGATGTTTGTGATACTTATTTCAATTATTATTATAGTGAGAGTCTTATAATACAATTTGTGTTTTATTGGGGAAAGTTATACATTTACTAATCTTAGAAATGGTACAAATGTTCAGAGCCGGTAGCACGGTGAGATACCGTTCCAAGGACAGGGACAGAGAGTACAAGTGGAAGGCACAGCTCAGCAATACCCAACTTTAGGTGTCATACCAGATTCAAACGAATTATAGCGTTTGATCCCAGGGGACTGATTCCTCTGCTGTTTAATATTCACACGCCCACTCTATCTCCTAGTTCCAGACTGCTGATGAAGACGTACAAACACATCATTATGGACAACATTACGGCATCACGCTGGACGAGAACAAGGATGGACTGTGCCTCCAAATAATCTATAAATGGATTCGGTCAGAGTGCTTGTCTGGTTATATAGATCTCTCAATTCATGGTTGCTTACAAAATGTCATTGACCCCAGCCAACTTGCAGGTGCCACTTGCTCTTTTTCGTGTTATAATGAATGAGCCAAACAAAATATACTCAATAATCCGTTTGCATCAAAATCAGCTGTAGGAGAAAAAAGATGAATGGATATTTGTATTGCGGTTCAGACCCCCCGTTGACGCACTCCAGCACCATTTTTACCCGGTCAATGGATTAGTCTGCGCTCGACTTTCATTCTCATCTTACTATACAAACCATTCTGTCTATGAAGCTCTAGAAGGTTAACGTTCATGATCAATTCCTACCGGGTACCCATGCACGACTGGGTAGAAAGATGCATATTTAGGACAGTCACTTATCTAAGGAGACACCTCATGTACTATAGTCGGCCAAGCGAATGCTTCGTAACATTTGAACTAAGGAAAGTGAACGATTATTGTTTCAGCAACATTAACTCAGCTTGGCACAGGACAAATGGTCTGTTGATAGGCGATGCACCAGCCCGGGCCTCGTGGCTCGGCTGAAAATGTGTTCATTATTGCTAACAGAACTATTTGCACTCGGTCACATGACCAAAGTAATGTGATCAAAACAAAATGTCGGCTGTCATTCACAACATTTCAGATTTATTTGAAACATTTTTAACAACCGCCGTACATATTTTTAAGTAATATAATACAATCTGTGAGTTACTACTATAATAAATAATACATAAACTAATGTTTGACAATCATAAATGAAATGTATTCATACGCGGGACACCTGTCATGACGGCGTAATGCACTCGTTCTGTAAGTTGAATTTTGACATATTGATATGACATCAAGTTTTTCTAATGTTGGGTGAGTAATAAATAAAATACTAAATGACGGTCCCATATTCATGAAACGAGTGAATGGTTTGGTATCTAACGAGCGAAAGCAACTTAGATACCAATACCATTCACGAGTTTTATAAAACTGGTATTTACACGGGACATCGTTTAGTATTCTCTATGTACTGGATTAGTATCAAGCTGTAATGAATGTAAAGGCGAGGTCCATTCATATATGTGTGTGGTGTGCTGGATTGGTTCAGTACACTAGATTGCGGTCTTTGGGATATGTAAAAATAACAGGAGTTCTGACACGGCCTCGCCTGAGTGACCTCAGCTGGGCACAGTTATCACATCAAAACAAACAAAACGAGATGAACGCTTAATGAAGCACGCGTGGCATTTGAACTTATATGCTCTCAAACTGTCCCTTTACCACATGGGTCATTGATCCAAATCTGGATGAGGACTGACTGCAGGAAACCCATACTTGTCGTAAGACAAGATTAACGAGATCGCGAAGTGAGGTTCGCCGAATTGGTTGATGCTTGTCATCGTATCCATGCGTAGATCGATATTTGGGATTTTAGTCACTGGATTATCTGGTCAAGATACAAATTATACAACCACCATATACCCGGAGAAGAGTGAGTGTCGCTCTATGCAACAAACATACATTAATCTAGAGCCAAATTATACTGATTACCATGTACAAGAACATCCAATTTATACAGGACAGCAGGAAACGATGCGATACGTCTCTCAAAGAGGAGCGATAGATGTACAGAGGGGTAATTGCAACTTGTAGTTTCATTTTCAGTCATAAAGACAAATTACACCACGAGTAATTACAGAAAGATTTCCGGTTATGCATCCCACCTACTTTATCTCGTAACAAACAATGCTGATGAGGTATATATACTACGCCAAAAGAAACGTTACACTCCTAACATTATGAATTACTGGAAAACTATCAAAGATATTTTAGAAGGTTTGAGTTTACAAGAAAGCTTAACAACACAGCTTTATGCAAATCACGAAAACAAAATCTCAAATGCATTCATATTTGAGTGAAATGCATCTTTTTCAGAAGAGTTCAACTGTCCTATATTCGTCCATGCCGAAATAAACCAATAATAGTGATTTTGATGTCCAAAAGAAAGGTTGAAATAAAATTTTGCTTTGGGACAATGATAAACCATTTAAAGTCACCATTTTTCAACTATTAAAACAAGAAACAACTGTTGTAGAGTGTATAAAATTGTAAAATAATCATTGCTATGATTTCAGTCTTTTAAAACATTTTCTGCTGATTTGCATTAGTGAAAACAAGTAAAACGTGTCTTTGATATTGTGAAAAAAATGTTTAGGAACATCTCCAATTATCTTTGTTAACATTTTTGCTTGCAAAGTAACATTTTTCCATTTCCATTTTACACATAGCAATATCAATCGCCAAAACGCAGCAATATTCAAACCGTATTTACATCCATTTCACGTGTAGAATGATTGTATAGGGTATGAAGAGAGACTAGAATACATGATATGATACACAAGTACGAGAAATATGCCACGATTAACAGCTGAAGGGAGAGAAAGAGCCATTGGGATGATGCAGATGGGGTCGACATACAACGCTGTTGCCAACGCCCTCGGATGCCACCGTATCACGGTTCTAAGACTTATTCAGGGCTTAGGACAGACTGGGATCACCGTAGACAGACCAAGAAGTGGACGTCCACGCATCACAACGCCAGCTGAAGATAGGTACCTCCGTCATAAAGGAAGGAGGGTAACTTTTCTTTTGGCGTTTAGTACAAATGCATGATATATTAATTTCACATTACTGGAGAAAATATGAAACCAGTCGTTGAAGTATCACTTCCTGGAAAGATTGCGTCTTTGTCTGTTTCTAGATTCCAGGAATATAACGAATGTGGACCAGAAAGTCACGTGATTGACATAGATCAAGCCTGACCGCTGATCCATTCAGTCGTCTTTTGCGATATTCCTACTGAACCAATCTCACACTCCCACCCCCCGGCAGTGATGGTTCCATTGAAGTTGTGCTATCAAATACGGTTTGTACATTACAATGTCCTTCACCAGGAAAGAAGATCCATAGTTACAATCCAATACATAGACAATTTCGCATATGACACTACCCGGATTGATATGATAATATACATGTATGTATTACGTATAAATATATTGCCTAATTCTACTTCTAAACAATGCCCTGAAACTATAAACGACACTCTCCGTTGCTCCATAGTGTATACGAGGCAAGCCCGGAATAGAATCGTAGGTAAACTTCTGTTGACTTTCTTAACGTTAACACTACAGGTTACTCAAATCTCGATTATTTGCCTGAAAATAGTATATGAATGGATTACTGTAAATCAGTGAGGAGTGAGGACACCAGGTGTTCGCAGAAAGGTTAAGCATGTCCTGCTGTCCCGGTACCAAGCGCCACTCAGATAATTTCCTTCAAATAGTAAGTGCCTGTTTGATGCCTAACGAAGCACTATGTATCATGTAATTGGAGGACCATTAACTTCATCCTAACCACATAAAAACAACGCAATGGTGCCGAATGTGTCCAAGATATATGTAACACTTGAATGATGATAATATACACCAGATTCTGCAGCATATATACTACCCACCAAAAGCAGTCACTATGTGTTATGTATAAACATATGGTTACGTCGAAGATGAATTTCTCCACTAACTTGGGGGAACCAACTGCAGACCTTATGCAGATGCACTGCACGAGGATCATCCATCAAATTGCTGAAAAGCATGTGCAAATATCGTACTTGTGAACTGCTGCGTTTTGGTGTAAAGTTTTGTTAAGAATTTGCCAATTTTCACCGTGTTTCATCATTTATTAAACTCATGATGATAATCTTTTCAACGTTACGAATTTGTTTTACAATGCATCAGTTCATGTGTAAACGGTATCTTTAAACAGTATGGAATATTTTGCACAATCTAGTTTAGAAGAGTTGACTGAAGAAAGCGGAAACATTTATACTAGTGAGTCTAAACTTTTGATGGGTAGTATATTTCTTTGTCATCTTCAAACCCGTGCCCGTAGGTTCCATCACTGGTATGTTGTTCAATATTAACGACCAGCCTAAATAAAACTGGTACGCTATTGAGGGAGGCCAGTGTTCAACCAAACTCATTAAATGTCCCATCACTGTGCTCCTCTTGGGGCAACCAGTGATGTACACTTTTTCATTCCAGACGCCAGATAAACAGAAATAAGGGTTTTAGACAGCATTCATTCTCAAGTTAAAAGAAATATTATTTTGTTGCCAAACTACATTCAAAAATATCTTTCTCGTCCAGATACCTTGGCAATATAAGGATGCAACTTCAAGACAGTTAGTTAGCGAACACAAAGCTTGTGCATACATCCAGATGTCGTTTTGTCAATACTGTTGTCGGGGCTGTGTTGTGGTTTGTAATTCTTGTCAACAACATAATCTGCACTCCAACATTTCACGAAGTCTTCATCGTGGAAAAGGCTATACTTGTTTCCGAGATGAGAACGCAACTATTTCCGGATTGCGTTATCTGGAACGCAAATACATAGTTCACGTAAACAGCAATGTTTGAAGTCTGCTTCTGACATATAGACATTGTGTCTAATCTTCCTACTGTTCGCTATGCCAAACCAACATGAAATAAACTATATTGTTTTAAACATTTTGTTATGAAATAATTTATTAGGCATATTTACTATCTTGACACAAGAACGATTAAGTAAATAATAATATTTCTTGCATATATGTTGCCAGGTACATCGAAATGACGGAGAGGACGTACAACGTTCACCCTTGCACTCACACATTTCATAGCACTTTGGACCTGTTAGTATGCAATACGATGAACGCAGCGCATCTTGGTAACTGTATATCCCGGCCATGTTCTCAGAAATATATATTCTTACATTCCTGTATCGACGTTCTAATAGCAACATCACAAGGTCACATAGAATCATGTTGCCCCAAGGGATTGTCTATGTCTTTGACGCAGTTGCGTCCCTTTGGCGTCCCAGAAACCTATGATCGGGGATTCGAATTCCCGTTCTCCTTGAATATGAACCATTGTATGGGGTTTCAGTAATGAAAAACCTTGGTCCTGCCTCACTTCAGGCTTTTACCCTAAAACAAGCTGACTACATGTGATATAGCTGGAAGACTGGTCAAAGTGGTGTTACACCCATCTCAATCACGCTGACATGTCCTCAAACACTGCCAAGCGGTTGATACTGCCCATCGATACCACCAGCTTGTTATTCTAAATATTTTACACCACCACACAACAGACACGTGTTTTCTCGTTTTGAGAAGCATTTAGCTGAGGTAGTGCTTCTGCAGCCAGGTCACTAAGGCGTTTGCTCATATTGGATGAAATCCGGGTTTGATCCCTATCATGGTAAGGTCCTGTGTTGATATTCCATGATTTGTTTTAGATACGCAATAATCCAAGTCACTCACTCACAAAAGCCCCAGCAAATCTCCAAAACCACTGAATCCAAAGGAGCCAAAAGGTTCAGAAAAACCTGCATCTTAATTCAGTCTTATCCGAAACAATTCAACTGAATGATCACTCCAGGTTCTTATCAGTCTATATGATTTATCATACCGCAGCAACAGAGCAATAAATCCAGAGCAAGCAAGTTCTCAATCAAACAGGAACAACGTCCGGTTCAGCCTGCCAATGAAAAATATCCAACGCCATAGCGAGGCGGACGTTTAGCCCTTTCGCATACACGCATCCCAGCTACACATCTGCCAAAATGGCAGTTATCTGCAGGATTGCTCTCACAGGGATTCTTTGTTTCACCCTAATTTACCAAGGTGAGTAAAACTAGGAATAATCGGGGTGTACCTCGGATAGAAGGGGACAGAGGGAGCTGTAAATTATTTCTAATGTTTAGTTCTACCCTAACCGATATCAGTCAGTTCACTTTGGTTACTTTCCACTGAGCTATAACACCGCTTCTACTGCGCATCTTATTAAAAGCGATTACCGTGCCAGAATACGTATTAAACTTTGTAATATTTTAATATTCTAGTTGTTTTATTCATCTAAAAGAATCGACCTTGAAAATGCCGACATGCTGACGATCCTTTAAGCAGAAAGCCGGTTTGTTTACATGCCCGCCGCTCAGAGGGATGTTCTTAACAGACGCTCGTGCAGCTCGCCTAACACGAGAATAGTTTCTAACATGTTCGATGTACATTGCAACACATTTCTCTTTCAGCATGTCGCGGGGGTATCCGCTACGTTGCATGCATTTCACGAGCTAATTAACACCAATCAATTCAATTACACTGTCTGCTCAGCGGGAAAATCTTTCCGGACTGTTTGAAATTGACAATTCTGATTTGCATAATATTCTATATAAATTCTCGTGCAGCTGAATTAGAATAACGGGAGAAACAAGCATGATGGTCGGGGCGATATTGACAAGCGCGCATGATATAAATATAGTTACCGAATCTGGCCCAAGGCCAACTTTCTAATGGTACTACATTCACAGAATATATAGGCTGCCAGTGTGAGTGGAAAGATAGCCTTCTTTCGTGTATTACCAGAGATGATCGTGATGGATGAATAATCGAAATGCGTACAGAGACTTTGTTAATGCCTAATTCAATTAGATTTCTGAACGATTTTAGAACCTGGAATTAATAACAATTCTGTACTTTCTGATATTGGTGTTGTCAGCAATATATATTGCTTAAACATTGCGATTTGCATAATGAGACTTGGTTACGTTATACAGGAAGACAGATCGATAAAACAAACGAAAAATGGAATAATTACCCATAAAATCATGATTCAGAAAGATCTAAATAGCAAGTAATATGGTAAACGTTTCATTTCCAAGGAATTTTGCTTTTAGCGGTTCACTTCACAAATCCAATACTGTAATAACGGACGTGCTTGCGTGCTTTTAATGTTCATGTTATAATAGACACAATTTGATAACTGGAAATTCCGGGCCGAAAAGTAGAACAATTTCCGGATCCTAATATAGCGGAACAATGATCACTCAGATATTGACCCATCGACTGCGGCGATAACACTTAATAGTGCCTTGGAAGATAAATCGCTGTATTCCATCTTGTGAACGAGCAGATGCTGCTTGTCTAACGAACGTGCGTGCACAAGCGCTGATCTGGGGAACTGAGGAATGGTGGAATGCATCAATTACCAGCTTGAAGCAGACATTTAATAAGTATTTCGTCGATTGACAAAATCATACGTGTTTGTTTTATGGAATGGCCGTCCTCTGTTCTGAAGGTCAGATGAGGGCTCTCTGGTTAACCCGGTCTAAGCTGTATCAACAAATCGAACACGCCACGCGGTACAAAAACTATGGGAGATAATGATGGCCATCTGGTATATTCATGCCTGACAGTACAGCAGTTATCCCCCGTGTGTATATATTTACATATATTCACGCAAGTGATTAAAGAAAGTTAATTTAGCGTCAGTGTTGGCAAATCAAAACTAAAGATATGTCTATATACTTTATAAGAACAGTATCTAGGTTTGAAAAGTCTTCACCGAACCGCCTCTCGAGCGTCACTTGGACTATTTCAATATTTGTTACTCGTACCCAAAGACGCTCAATTTAAGACCAAGGTTAACAATCCAACATACCGACTTCTCTAACCGAGAACTGGATTACATGCGGTAGAGAAGGTTCTTTCTCTCAGAATTTAATATCCGACGTTGGACGCCTTGACAATTTGCCCTTGATGTTGACATGAAACGTGGAGATCTGATATGCCGGTGAATATATCTACACTGTCTGGGTCAAATGAGTATGTGAGCCACGCCATGGCTTTCGCCAATCTATGCTACACGCTTCGCGCTGGCACGGTTGTAAGCGGTTCCTTGCGTCAGCTGGGATGCTGTACTTCAGGGAAAGATGAAGTGAAAGGGAAAAAACTGATGAAGTAACTCAAACCACAGTGTTAATCACAAAAGTCGATAATCGTTCATCTAGACTAATACCACAGTGTTAATCACAAATGTCGATAATCCTTCCTCTAGAGTAATACCACAGTGATAATCACAAATGTCGATAATCGTTCCTCTAGACTAATACCACAGTGATAATCACAAATGTCGATAATCGTTCATCTAGACTAATACCACAGTGATAATCACAAATGTCGATAATCGTTCATCTAGACTAATACCACAGTGATAATCACAAATGTCGATAATAATTCATCTAGACTAATACCACAGTGATAATCACAAATGTCGATAACCGTTCATCTAGACTAATACGACATCTAAACTAATACCACAGTGTTAATCACAAATGTCGATATTCGTTCATCTAGACTAATACCACAGTGATAATCACAAATGTCGATAATCGTTCATCTAGACTAATACCACAGTGATAATCACAAATGTCGATAATAATTCATCTAGACTAATACCACAGTGATAATCACAAATGTCGATAACCGTTCATCTAGACTAATACCACAGTGTTAATCACAAATGTCGATATTCGTTCATCTAGACTAATACCACAGTGATAATCACAAATGTCGATAATCGTTCATCTAGACTAATACCACAGTGATAATCTCAAATGTCGATAACCGTTCATCTAGACACTTCGTCTCTGATAAATATCTAATTATGATTGAAACATAGAGCTCCATTTAAATTGAAATGGAACCCAAGTGAGGTGGACGATTCTCAACCTGATTAGTGTCCAAAAATCGGTAAACTCTGTACTTGATTTGAGGAAGATATACACTTTCACCATTATGGCTTGTGTATTAATGCGACAATATAAGACCGATTCACTAGCACTTAGTCTCTGAAATTATATAATTTGGATAGAAACAAAGAACTTATTTAGAACTGAAAAGTAGCCCGGTTCAGGCTGAACCAGTGGAAATTCTGAACTTGCTCATTTCGGGCTTTTGTATTACGTAAGGACTGGGTGGAAAGGAAAACTATTGTTCAGGGAGTGTGGTGGATTAACAGCTAGTCTCTGAAATGAACATATTTTACAGAAAAAAGTTCATAGTAAAAAATATCATATAATGAAAAGGAGCCCTGAGACTTTCTTCATTCCTGAAGCTGTTGAAATCTAGACTTGCCACATTTGCTAGACTTGCGTGGGCTTCTTGGATATTTTTGCCTCAGGGTCTCTATGGCAGATTAGGAGTGTGAGAGAGACTGTCGTCCGCTCAACGCAATACGGGCGCAATCTAAGCCAGACTAGAATAACACATTTATCACGTAACACTTTTAATGTGTGTGAAGGGTGAGTATTATACAAGTTTATAAACATTTACTGGTATTTATCTGACACATGTGAAACGTGTTTCTTCTGGTTACGTGACCACCCACAATGGTTATTTTCGCGGCAACAACACGTGGGATTTTGACGAATGAATTAAGTTCCTAATTAACATCCCCAAGCCAAGGTACGTGTTTTCGCATGTGAGAAACCTTTCATCGTTCTAGTCTCGGCTCGCCCAGATTTTTATTCTAGGTACTCTACAAATACTAATGTGTTTCAGTCGTCAAAGATATGCATCATTTCTGGTGTTATTCTACCCGTGAAAATTCGGGTTAGAACTGGTCTTCAGCAACCCATGTTTGTCGTAAGAGGCGACTAACGGGATTGGGTGGTCAGCCTCGATGACTAGGTTGGTGCTTGTCATTGTATCCCATTTGCGTTGATCGATGCTCTTGCTGTCAGTCAGTCACATGGTTGTTTGGTCCACATTCGATTATTTACAGACCTGGCTTGAACAACAAACCACCTCAAGCAGACACGTCGTGGTATACTGTGCAGAGCGACGTTAAAACAAACTAAGTCATGAAGCCAATTACACCCTCGCTCATTACTCACTTCCATGTACTGAATTACCGAGGGTTAACTCCACTTGCAAGGTAGTAATAACTAGAAAGATAACTGTTAGAAAATGGAATTAAGTACACTCTCGGGGTTGCGCCATGTACGTTTAAGGGTCTACATAGATCAAGGGCAAAGTGGAGTTTCTTAAGTAGATTAACCTTTAATTTAAGACTTTTTCATGCAATGGTTTCGGTGGATAATAACTCATTTTCAATTTGCACTCATACCATTATCAATAGAGCATTGCGGCCTTCCTTTTAAGAGAAAAACATCCATTGCAAGCTTGTTGATGTTTCTGTTCTTGAAGGGAAAACGCCATTCTACACAATAAATGGCACTGGTTAGACTGACCTGTACCCAATTACACTGAGTCTTGTCCGTCCTGAACTAGATACCTTGGTAACCGACGTGATCTATCTGTATACAACTGACTGCGGCGGAAAACAATATGAATGAGTGTAATAATACACGGTGATGCATTGTAATTCCACGGCCGTGCTTACGTTGCCATAGTGTATTCAGTTTCTTTTATAATCAAATCTGTCATCCTAGTTCGATACCGTCTCCGTCCACAATTAACAAACCGTTTATAGGAAGTCATGTCAGCTTAAGGTTTTCAATCCTCAGAACGAACAAGCGCTCTGAACAGCATCTGATTTGAAAGCAACAACAAACGGGCAGTTCCGAATGATGGTTCATCAATGCCGTTCAATATTGTAGATATTTGATACGTTTATGTCAACTACGTCCAAAAGGGGCATCACCAAATAGATGGGTAAAGATGTTCAAGGGGATCGTGTTTAAAAGTTGACATCTGATTGTCTTATGAACACACGTATCTTCCTTTATGATTAGGCTGTTTATATTCGTTCAGAGATCAGATCGTGTTTAAAAGTTGACATCTGATTGTCTTATGAACACACATATCTTCCATTATGATTAGGCTGTTTATATTCGTTCAGAGATCAGATCGTGTTTAAAAGTTGACATCTGATTGTCTTATGAACACACATATCTTCCTTTATGATTAGGCTGTTTATATTCGTTCAGAGATCAGATCGTGTTTAAAAGTTGACATCTGATTGTCTTATGAACCCACGTATCTTCCTTTATGATTAAGCTGTTAATATTCGTTCAGAGATCAGATCAGATCGTGTGTTTTTTCGGGGATTGTGCATTGTGTGAGTAAAATGTTCTCATAACCAATGTCTACTATTGTAAATATCTCATTTTTCAGTTTCTTGCGCCTGTCGGTCATGTCCTTATGGAACACCGGATGAGAAATGCAAAGACAAATACCAGCCAAAAAACGAGCGAACAGCTTGCGTACCCAGTGAAGAAAACAGTGAGTGTATTGGGTACTTAATATTAGACTTGGAGAGGGGAATTTACATTCCCTTATATTCATTCATTAATTGCACCTTACTTGGTCCCTTGGTACTGTCCGGGGACGGTGGGGTAGCCTCGTGGTTAAGGCGTTCGCTCGTCACGCCGAAGACCCGGGTTCGAATCCCCACATCAATACAATGTGTGAAGCCCATTTCTGGTGTCCCCCGCCGTGATATTGCTCACAATGGTACTGTCATATTACAGACGGACGACTTACTTGACCCACTGCTGGTGGCCCCTTTATTAGTCCACCTAGATCCCACTGATAACCTTCCGGTGGCCCCTTTATTAGTCCACCTAGATCCCACTGATAACCTACTGGTGGCCCCTTTATTAGTCCACCTAGATCCCACTGATAACCTTCTGGTGGCCCCTTTATTAGTCCACCTAGATCCCACTGATAACCTACTTGTGGCCCCTTTATTGGTCTACCTAGATCCCACTGATAACCTTCTGGTGGCCCCTTTATTGGTCTACCTAGATCCCACTGATAACCTACTGGTGGCCCCTTTATTAGTCCACCTAGATCCCACTGATAACCTACTGGTGGCCCTTTATAAGTCCACCTAGATCCCACTGATAACTTACTGGTGGCCCCTTTATTAGTCCACCTAGATCCCACTGATAACCTACTTGTGACCCCTTTATTAGTCCACCTAGATCCCACTGATAACCTACTGGTGGCCCCTTTATTAGTCCACCTAGATCCCACTGATAACCTACTGGTGGCCCCTTTATTAGTCCACCTAGATCCCACTGATAACCTACTGGTGGCCCCTTTATTAGTCCACCTAGATCCCACTGATAACCTACTGGTGGCCCCTTTATTAGTCCACCTAGATCCCACTGATAACCTACTGGTGGGCCCCTTTATTATCCACCTAGATAGATCCCACTGACAACCTACTGGTGGCCACCTAGATTAGTGATCGCCCCTTTATTAGTCCACCTAGATCCCACTGATAACCTACTGGTGGCCCTTTATTGGTAGTCCCCTTACTTGAAGTCCTCATATCTCTTTTGATGGCCCCTTTCTGGTCGTCCATTTACTGGCTGCCCACTTTTGGGTGGCCCCTGTACTGGTAGCGCCCTTATCGTTAGTCCCTTGCTTGGATCCCTACAATTAGTTATAGTTGTTCTTTCTGATGATTCTTGTTGTCGCTCATTTTGATGGCTCAATATCAATAGCCTCTCATAGGTGGGTCGTTACTGGCTGTCTGCCATAGGTGGCTCCTCGGCTGTAGCCCCTCATAGGTGGTCCATCGCTGGTAGCCCCTCTTATGTAGCTCCTCACTGTAGGCCGTCCATAGCTTGATCCCCAGTGGCAGACCTCACAGGTGACTCCGCACTGTTTGCCTCCCACAGGTGGCTCCCCACTAGCAGCCCCTCATAGCTGGCTCCTCACAGGTAGCTCCTCACAGGTGGCTCCCCACTAGCAGCCCCTCATAGGTGGCTCCTCATAAGTGGCTCCTCACTAGCAGCTCCCTCATAGGTGGCTCCTCACAAGTAGCTCCCCTCATGGGTGGCTCCTCACTAGTAGCCCCTCATAGGTGGCTCCTCACTCATAGGTGGCTCCTCACTAGTAGCTCCTCATAGGTGGCTCCTCACTAGTAGCCCCTCATAGGTGGCTCCTCACTAGTAGCTCCTCATAGGTGGCTCCTCACTAGTAGCCCCTCATAGGTGGCTCCTCACTAGTAGCTCCTCATAGGTGGCTCCTCACACTAGTAGCTCCCTCACTTCATAGGTGGCTCCTCACTAGTAGCTCCTCATAGGTGGCTCCTCACTAGTAGCCCCTCATAGGTGGCTCCTCACTAGTAGCTCCTCATAGGTGGCTCCCCACTAGTAGCTCCTCATAGGTGGCTCCTCACTAGTAGCCCCTCATAGGTGGCTCCTCACAAGTAGCTCCTCATAGGTGGCTCCTCACTAGTAGCTCCTCATAGGTGGCTCCTCACTAGTAGCCCCTCATAGGTGGCTCCTCACTAGTAGCTCCCTCATAGGTGGCTCCTCACTAGTAGCTCCTCATAGGTGGCTCCTCACTAGTAGCCCCTCATAGGTGGCTCCTCACTCAGTAGCCCCTCATAGGTGGCTCCTCACTAGTAGCCCCTCATAGGTGGCTCCTCACTAGTAGCCCCTCATAGGTGGCTCCTCACTAGTAGCCCCTCATAGGTGGCTCCTCACTAGTAGCTCCTCATAGGTGGCTCCTCACTAGTAGCTCCTCATAGGTGGCTCCCTCACTAGTAGCTCCTCTCATAGGTGGCTCCTCACTAGTAGCCCCTCATAGGTGGCTCCTCACTAGTAGCTCCTCATAGGTGGCTCCTCACTAGTAGCCCCTCATAGGTGGCTCCTCACTAGTAGCTCCTCATAGGTGGCTCCCTCACTAGTAGCTCCTCATAGGTGGCTCCTCACTAGCAGCCCCTCATAGGTGGCTCCTCACTAGTAGCTCCCTCATAGGTGGCTCCTCACTAGCAGCCCCTCATAGGTGGCTCCCCACTAGTAGCTCCCTCATAGGTGGCTCCTCACTAGTAGCTCCCTCATAGGTGGCTCCCCACTGAAATAGCTGTCTCAGCTCCTCACTATAGGTGGCTCCCTCACTAGTAGCTCCCTCATAGGTGGCTCCCCACTAGTAGCTCCTCATAGGTGGCTCCTCACTAGCCCCTCATAGGTGGCTCCTCACCAGCTCCCTCATAGGTGGCTCCCTCACTAGTAGCTCCCTCACTCATAGGTGGCTCCTCACTAGTAGCTCCTCATAGGGTGGCTCCTCACTAGTAGCTCCTCATAGGTGGCTCCCACTAGTAGCTCCTCATAGGTGGCTCCCCACACTAGTAGCTCCTCATAGGTGGCTCCTCACTAGTAGCCCCTCATAGGTGGCTCCTCACTAGTAGCTCCCTCATAGGTGGCTCCCCACTAGCTAGCTCCTCACTCCCCACTAGCAGCCCCTCATAGGTGGCTCCTCACTAGTAACCCTCCTCACTAGTGGCTCCTCACAAGTAGCTCCCTCATAGGTGGCTCCCTCACTCAGTAGCTCCCTCATAGGTGGCTCCTCACTAGCAGCCCCTCATAGGTGGCTCCTTATAGGTGGCTCACTAGTAGCTCCCTCATAGGTGGCTCCTCACTCCTCAGTAGCTCCTCATAGGTGGCTCCTCACTAGTAGCTCCTCATAGGTGGCTCCTCACTAGTAACCCCTCATAGGTGGCTCCTCACAAGGTGGCTCCTCACAAGCTCCTCATAGGTGGTTCCCCACTAGTAGCTCCCTTATAGGTGGCTCCTCACTAGTAGCTCCTCATAGGTGGCTCCTCACTAGTATCCCTCATAGGTGGCTCCTCACTAGCTCCCCCTCATAGTGGCTCCTCACTAGTAGCTCCTCATAGGTGGCTCCCCACTAGCAGCCCCTCATAGGTGGCTCCTCACTAGTAGCTCCTCATAGGTGGCTCCTCACTAGTAGCTCCTCATAGGTGGCTCCCCACTAGTAGCTCCTTATAGGTGGCTCCTCACTAGTAGCTCCTCATAGGTGGCTCCCCACTAGTAGCCCCTCATAGGTGGCTCCTCACTAGTAGCTCCTCATAGGTGGCTCCTCACTAGTCGCTCCTCATAGGTGGCTCCCCACTAGCTCCTCACTAGTAGCCCCTCATAGGTGGCTCCCCACTTGTAGCTCCTTATAGGTGGCTCCTCACTAGTAGCCCCTCATAGGTGGTTCCGCTGGTAGTCCCTCATAATCTGCTTCTCACTGGTGGCTCCTCACAGTTAACCCCTCATAGGTTTCTTCACACTGGTAGCCCAGCTTATATTCACCTCTGGCAACGTCTCTTGTGCCCCTTCTCTGGTGTCCCGTTACAGGCAGTCTCGTAGCCTATTTACTGATGACGCCTTTCCAATTTCCCCTTTACTAGGATCCACGTTATTCGTTGGCCCCGTGTTACTGGAATCCAGTTTACTGGTAGTCTCCTTACTGATGACCATTTTACTGGTAGTCTCCTTACTGATGGCCCTTTAACTGGTAGTCCTCTTACTGAAGGCCCTTTTACTGGCAGTCTCCTTACTGATGACCCATTTACTGGTATTCTCTTTACTGATGGCCCTTTTTCAAGCAGTATTCTTACTGGTGACCCTTTTACTGGCAGTCTCCTTACTGGTGACCCATTTACTGGTAGTCTCCTTACTGATGGCCCTTTAACTGGCGGTCTCCTTACTGGTGACCCTTTTACTGGCAGTCTCCTCACTGGTGACCCTTTAACTGGTAGTCTTCTTACTTGTGGCTCCTTTACAGGTAGTGTTCTTACTGGTTGCTTTCTTACCAGTGACCCCTTTTACTGGTTGCTTTCTTACCAGTGACCCCTTTTACTGGTTGTTTTCTTACCGGTGACCCCTTTTACTGGTTGTTTTCTTACCAGTGACCCCTTTTACTGGTTGTTTCTTACTGGTGGCCCTTTCACTGGTAGTGATTGGCCTTGTTTGTTGTTTCTTATTGGTGGCCCCATTCTGGTTGTCCCTTTATTGGTTGGTGGCTTGTGGTGTCCCATTTGCTGACATTCCGTTTAGTTTTCTTTTCCCTGGTATCCCCTTACTAGCAACCCGTAATTAGTGGCCCTTAACTAGCAGCCCCCAATCTCTGTGCAGGTAGTTTCCTTGCTGTTGGTTCTTGTATTGGCACCCTATTTGTTTCTGTCCCCTCACTGATGGCTCCCTTTTCTGGCAGTCTATCATCAATGACCTCATACAGGTGGCCTTTACAGACCACTGGTCCCTCAGCTGAAGAAATACTTTTCTAAACTATTTTCATGTTTCCTTGCAGATAAAAAGATGTGCGCTAACTACAAGAAGGGTTGGAAGGCCATCTGTGTAGTCGGAGTATCAACCTTTCAGTGCAAAACGTTATGTCCGCAAAATACGGCCACCATCTTGAACTGTGACGTCATCACCATGATTGCTGTCGCTCTCTTCTCCATCTTGCATCGTTTGCTTCATTAATGGCCTCTAGTAGTGTTTAGATTACAGGAATGTTTAGTTTACGAGTGGAGCATTATGACAAATCCACGATATAAAAATTGTTCTACAGGGTAATGACCTTTCGCCTCTCGATATATATCACGATTATCGACATATCTGCGAACTTAATCGAAATCTCAAATCAATATTAAGGTACTGTGTTTGTTTACCAATGTAAATATAACATCTTCAAAACTGGTAAATATATAATCAAATATATTTATCATATTGTTATATGATAAGAACAGACACAAATCGCTCTGTATCATTGAAACCATAGGATTAGTCGTGAGGTCCTGAGTGGCAAGCCTTGTATGTGTTTCTTAAAAGGGAATACTGATGTATATATTCCTAGCAAAATATGAGTATAACTCAGTTCAATTATGGTTAAAACTATTAAGACATTCGTGTTATTAAAAACAGTGTACTTCGAAACGCTATGTAAACTCGTAGACAAGTGTTATAAGTGTAGCTGGAGTCAGATTGTAAAAGTGTACTTCGAGTCAGATTGTAAAAGTGTAGCTCGAGTCAGATTGTAAAAGTGTAGCTCGAAGCCGATTGTAAAAGTGTACCTCGAGTTAGATTGTAAAAGAGTACTTCGAGTCAGATTGTCACAGTGTACCTCGAGTCAGATTGTAAAAGTGTATCTCGAGTCAGATTGTCACAGTGTAGCTTGAGCCAGTGACGTCCTGTACATAAGATACCACTGTCCATTGTCAAATTATATTCCATGTCTTCCTACTGGAAGAGACACATAGTTTGCTTTAGTAAACAGTCCTGTAAGTGTGATTCACCTCATACAAATGTCATTTCGTCTGATCCAATTCTGTAATGTAATGCAATCTAGTAGTTTCCAGCTGCGCAGATTACACAGAAAATGTCACAGATTCACAAGCGGAACAAATTTAAATCGCGGCTGTGTCTTAGATATTATAGATTTTTAATAAGAATGTGTACATTGTACAAAGAAGGCTGTGACCATACAAAAACTAAACGGATTTCCTTTTAGTGACGTGAAACGCCTCTGATTGTATGCGCAAACACGCTAAGGAGTGATGGAGGCAAGGGAGACAACTCCCGAAATCGACTAATCAATTTTCTGGCGTTTGATCATGCGGTGATGGTTCGTTTGTTGTTACATGAAACGCCATTGATTGTATGTGCTGACACACCACCGTGAAATGCAGGCAAGGGAGGCAACTCCTGAAAGCAGTTGATCAATTTATTACATTAGATTCAGCGGTGATATTTTGTATATTTTTATGTACATAAACTAACATTTTGTATCTGCATCATGTATTTAGATATTTATTATTTATTCGTGACAGGTTTTGCTCGAGGAACAAGGATAATGACCAGCCTGAAAAGATATTTGTGTCAGCAAGCCTTTACAAGACATTTGTGATTCACTTTAAGGTCCTTTTTCATAAATTGGTATTAAGATCAGCTGATCCAAAGTAATACAAACGTGGATTTTTATAACATTAAAACACATCTTTTTTTCTAACTGATGACTTTAATTGCACATTTCATTATTACCATTTAACAAACTCAATTTTAGTCATTAAAAAAACCTTTAGACTTGCGAAGAAAACCTAACCTTAAACTTTTCATTCTAAAATATACGTCTATAACGTTTATTTATTTCATCCGAAATTCTGTTCAGAAATCACGTAAATCACGTCCAGTTCAAGCTTTTGCAGGTGATTGCTTCTAATTGGAAGCGACTTGCATGGAATGGTACGTGTATTGTTATTGTGAAGATAAGGTATTCAGATTTGTGACAGGAACCGCTGTTTCATTTTATTGTAAAATAGTTTGTATTAGTGTGTCTTTCGTAGATAGAGACTGAAAATAAGCTCGGTAATGTACTTTCATAACCGTTTGAAGCACTTGTAAAATACTTGATATGTATCCATTAACCTTTGTGATATCGTGTCCTTGTTGCCTCAATCACTCAGGGTGATGAATTCATTCATATGCAGTGAATTCATTAGGCTGGATGACTGAGTTTCTTCTATGTGTAATTATTTATGAACACACATTATTATTCATTCGCAAACATCTTTTGAAATAAACGATTTGGAAATAGGAATTTAATGTGTTTTATATAGTCTTGTTTCATTGCAATGCGTTCATTGTCAGGTAATTAATACCAGCTTGATCCCCTCCCACCACAACCTAACACACACACACACACACACACACACACACACACACACACACACACACACACACACACACACACACACACACACACACACACACACACACACACACACACACACACACACACACACACACACACACACACACACACACACTAACTACCACCACCACCACAACCTAACCTCCACCCCACCTTACCTCCCACCACAACAAGCCGTAGTCTTCGCTCAGTACAAGGACCTAATTGCCATATTGTAGTTTGCCATAGCGAAACACAACTTCTGAAACTATGCGATGAATTTCAAATATATCCTGCAATGCACATAGGGATGTTAAAAAGTTTTCCTTATAAATACATTCCCCAATCTGTCGGCAGTTAACAAACACGCACGGTTTCGGTAACAAATTTAGTGACTTAGCTGTCATCGTACCCCGAAGGCGTTTTACTCACCAGTTTGCCTACTCCGGGGTTGATATTTTGCATGCTGTCATAATACAGGTTTAACAATGACTACTGAATAAAATATACAAAATCACTCGATTCGTTCTAAAGCCATTACAAGTACTGTCTCCACAACTGAAAGCATGGCTATACAATGAGTATAAGTGAAGTATGTGTGTGAATAATATTTCGACGCGTTAAAGTACAGTAACACAAACAGATAGGGACAACCCATGTAACAACTAACACAGGGGCGTGTCACGCTTAGAAACAGCGTTAGAAACACCCTACCCTACCTACAGACCTACCCTAGTACTATATAAAAGGATCCTTTTATATAGTACTAGGGTAGGGTCTATATACCTATATGTCTTTCTAACGCTGTTTCTAAGCGTGACACGTCCTAGTGACAACTAACACGAAAGCACGTTGTAAGATAGTGAGGTGTGAAGGTTCGAATCCCAGACGCTTCTAATATTTTAAGACATGTAAGTAGCTCGTTTTACAGGTTTCCCAAGTAGAACGTTTTACAGGTGGTAGGTATAACATGCGTTACATTTGACCAATTTCTAGATGGAGTTGTGTATTCATAGGTTCCGAACTGACCCGTGTATGGGTGAGTGAGTGAGTTTTAGTTTTAAGCCGCTTTTAGCAATTTTCCAGCAATATCACGGCAGGGAACACCAGAAATGTTCTTCACACATTGTGCCCATGTGGGAAATCGAATCCGGTCTTCGTCGTGATGAGCGAACGCTTTAACCACAAGGCTACCCCACCGCCGCGACCCGTGTATGGAAGGGAAAGGATATCATTTCACGACTCTGTAAACCGGGAACGACATTCATCTGTAAAAAGTCAAAGGCGGTTCACCTTTTACTGGACACCGAGTGGTTACATGTACAATATCTGACTGAGTTGGTTTGTATCAGCGTTTTAGTTTAGATCACTGGACAAGTAATCAACAATTTCTTTTCGGTGGAAAACAACATTTATTCTCTTATTCCCACAAACTTTGGTTCCTGAAAGTTCAAAATAATAATGAATAAATTCACTATCTTAACTGACGGGTGAAGATTTGGTTAGAATTTGTCTCAGCAGCTCATTCTTCTCGTAACCGTTTGCCATACATCTCATGAAAGGAGACTTACGGGATAGGGCTGATTTGTCTGATGCTTTCGTCGTAGCCAAGTTGCAGGTTCATAATGTCAGTCACAGGTTTGTCGGGTTCAGACTTGATTATTTTTAGGCCGCCGATGTAAAGTGGAAATATTGTTGAGTGTGACGTAAAATATCAAGGCAACAGAGAATAGGAACAAATTGAAGCGATAGCTAAATATTTTACGACCGTTTCCTGTTTACCTGAATTGGCTTTTACGTTCATGAGGAAGTGCACGTGATGCGGCAAGGAAACTTTGCATATATTTATGAGCAGATTGTATTCGCCGAAACAGCCCCGACATAGATTAATAAATCACGCCAGAAGGGAAGTCAGTATTAATCATGGTGACATAGCTGTTGTGTTAGGAAGGACAGAGGGGAAGCGTGGTATCATTCGTGTGAATTGCGCCGGGCTGCCAGGAAAGTTCAAAGTTCTTTCCTGCATGCGACGAAACAGCGGCGGTATATAGTCATCGACTACACTGACCACTTACAGGAACATAATATACGACATCGCCTTCCACTAAACTTACCTATAATACATCCCAGTACAGATGTTGGCTTTCGATTGGACTGACTCCTTCCTTACAATACCAGCGTTTTGCTGTCGACTACACCAGCCTATCATACGTCACAATAAAGACTATGACTGGTTTGACCTATCATACGTCACAACAAAGGCGATGACTGGACTGACCTACCACACGTCACAATAAAGGCGATGATTGTCCACTGGACTAATCTACGTACCATACGTCAAAATAAAGGCGATCATTGTCCACTGAACTGACCTATCATACGTCACAATAAAGGCGATGACTGGCTTGACCTATCATACGTCACAATAAAGGCGATGACTGTCTACTGAACTGACTTACCATACGTCACAACAAAGGCGATGACTAAATCAGTTTGACCTATCATACGTCACGATAAAAGCGATGACTGTCCAATGAACTGACCTACTATACGTCACAATAAAGGCGATGACAGGACTGACCTATAATACGTCACAATAAAGGTGATGATTCTGCACTGAACTGACCTACCATACGTCACAATATAGGCGATGACTGGATTGACTTATCATACGTCAAAATAAAGGCGATGACAGGACTGACCATAATACGTCACAATAAAGGTGATGATTCTGCACTGAACTGACCTACCCAACTCACAATAAAGGCGATGACTGGATTGACCTATCATACGTCACAATAAAAGCGATGACTGGACTGACCTATCATACGTCACAATAAAGGCGATGACTGTCCACTAGACTGACCTATCATACGTCACAATAAAGGCGATGACTGGACTGACCTATAATACTTCATAATAAAGGCGATGACTGGACTAACCTACAATACGTCCCAATAAAGGCGATGATTGTCGACTAGATTAACCTAGCATACGTCACAATAAAAGCGATGATTGTCCACTGAACTGACCTATAATATGTTACAAGAAAGGCGATGACTAAATCAGTTTGACCTATCATACGTCACAATAAAAGCGATGACTGTCCACTAGACTGACCTATCATACGTCACAATAAAGGCGATGACTGGATTAACCTATAATACTTCATAATAAAGGCGATGACTGGACTAACCTACAATACGTCACAATAAAGGCGATGATTGTCGACTAGATTAACCTAGCATACGTCACAATAAAAGCGATGATTGTCCACTGAACTGACCTATAATATGTTACAAGAAAGGCGATGACTAAATCAGTTTGACTTATCATACGTCACAATAAAAGCGATGACTGTCCACTAGACTGACCTATCATACGTCACAATAAAGGAGATGACTGGACTGATCTATAATACTTCATAATAAAGGCGATGACTGGACTAACCTACAATACGTCCCAATAAAGGCGATGATTGTCGACTAGATTAACCTAGCATACGTCACAATAAAAGCGATGATTGTCCACTGAACTGACCTATAATATGTTACAAGAAAGGCGATGACTAAATCAGTTTGACCTATCATATGTCACAATAAAAGCGATGACTGTCCACTAGACTGACCTATCATACGTCGGAATAAAGGCGATGACTGGATTAACCTATCATACGTCACAATAAAAGCGATGACTGTCCACTAGACTGACCTATCATACGTCACAAGAAAGGCGATGACTGGACTGATCTATAATACTTCATAATAAAGGCGATGACTGGACTAACCTACAATACGTCCCAATAAAGGCGATGATTGTCGACTAGATTAACCTAGCATACGTCACAATAAAAGCGATGATTGTCCACTGAACTGACCTATAATATGTTACAAGAAAGGCGATGACTAAATCAGTTTGACCTATCATATGTCACAATAAAAGCGATGACTGTCCAATGAACTGAACTGACCTACTATACGTCACAATAAAGGCGATGACAGGACTGACCTATAATACGTAACAATAAAGGTGATGATTCTGCACTGAACTGACCTACCCAACTCACAATAAAGGCGATGACTGGATTGACCTATAATACGTCACAATAAAAGCGATGACTGGACTGACCTATCATACGTCACAATAAAGGCGATGACTGTCCACTAAACTGACCTATAATATGTTACAAGAAAGGCGATGACTAAATCAGTTTGACCTATCATACGTCACAATAAAAGCGATGACTGTCCAATGAACTGAACTGACCTACTATACGTCACAATAAAGGCAATGACAGGACTGACCTATAATACGTCACAATAAAGGTGATGATTCTGCACTGAACTGACCTACCATACGTCACAATATAGGCGATGACTGGATTGACTTATCATACGTCACAATAAAAGCGATGACTGTCCACTGGACTGACCTATCATACGTCACAATAAAGGCGATGACTGTCGACTGGAGTGACCTACCATACGGTGACCCTCTCTTAGACATATCTCTCAAACACCACAATACGGGTGTTGACCGTCAGGCAGCTAACACTTACCACACTGGTCACTTTGGTTGAACAAACATTAGAAAACCTCAAGCGGGCACTTGACCTCTGTGGATAACCAAACGAAGGGCAGTCCATCTAAAAGTTCACTTCACACTGCTGATTAAGGTCAACTAATCCCGTCCAAAACGTGTCCCTATGTCAACACAATCCCGCAAAACGTACAGTGCGCAGGTTTTCTTAAGTTAAAAGGTCCCATTGTTCAGTTATTGGTTAATGTTTTACTCAGCTATAAAAAAAATCTGTTCAGTACCAGACATTCAAGACATAGTTTAAAGACAATATTGTTAATAAAACAATACGGGGTTTTATTCTACAAATTGCACAGATGTTAAGTTCAATGCCTGTCGTAAAAGCCGCCTTAAGGTGATGTCGTCAAATGTAAGTGACGTCATCGCACATCAGTCGCTGGTCATACTATTACGCGCTGGTTCACCAGACTCGCCATAAAATAGCCGGACTATTCTTAGTGCCCCACACAGCATTCAATTCGACTAACGTTTAGTCTCTAGTCACATCTGTACACAATGGATAAATAATATAGCTGTAATGGATGCGTGTGTCTATAAATACATGATACCAAAGTAAAAGCGTGGTTAAGGATGGGAAATATCAGGCTTACAAAAGAAATATATATTGAGCTATGATTCGTTCCACTTACGATCTTAGCGGTGCGACAAGTGTAACTACCACACAATGACATAGACTTGATTACGATAATCGTAACCTTACTACCGCTTTCAGCAACCTTTGTGAAACGGTCCCTGGTTCACAGAATTGGCATAGACTTAATTACGATAATCGTAACCTTACTACCGCTTTCAGCAACATTTGTGAAACGGTCCCTTGTTCACAGAATTGGCATAGACTTAATTACGATAATCGTAACCTTACTACCGCTTTCAGCAACCTTTGTGAAACGGTCCCTGGTTCACAGAATTGGCATAGACTTAATTACGATAATGGTAGCACTACTACCGCTTTCATCAACATTTGTGAAACGGGTCCCTGTTGAGTATACAGCAGTCTGCATACACCTAGCATGTAAAGGCCCCATAAATATAAACCACTCTCAACACAGTTAAACATTAAGTAACCTAATGTGCTAATGGTTTTACACCGAATCGATTACTGTGTTATATGATCGTCAAATATTTTCATTTCATGAATAGGGTATACCCAGAGCGTTCAAAATAACAGACGGAGTGTTGATGCAAAGCCCTGGCGTATCAATGACATTGCAATTAAACATCATCCCGGAATATGGTTACAATTTATGAAGCAGAGCGGAGCTTTCTCTTAGCGAGAACGCCATTAACACTTCGTTTTCATTCACCTCGGTCTCGCGAGATCTCGGATCTGCAGCAAGTGTTGTTTTTTCGCTGGGCCGCAAGGACAATTGAGCTTTCGGAGATTGTATTGATATTTTGCGCACGTAGCATGAAAAAATAACATGCATCAGGACTGAGCTGGATAAAGAACTCTCAAAATATGGGGAATCTAGACTCGTTTGACGAAAATTGTCTAGCGTATCCTCATTTCCATTTTTCCTCTGTGATCTAAAAAACTAAGTACGGGCATCTTTATTTGCCTCATTGTAGACTAACGTTTAGTCTCTCAAAATAAAATATTAAAGACCATTTTGATAAAAGAAACCCCCAAATCTCCATTTAAATTGAAAAGGAGATCCAATTAGCTTGGAGATTCCTGAAACTAGAGAAAATCTACACTTGCTTCATTAAGGCCTTTTGCATTATAAAATGGACTGTGCCGAAGGGAAATAATATGGTTAGAGGGCCATTTGGCTAGGGTTATTGTTGAATATGTAGAGCCCAGAATGCTAAGCACTAGACTTTAGAGCCCAGACCTGAGTTCCAGTTTTCTCAATAGATGCTGGAAGATTTATTCAGTTATATAGGAGAGGAAACAATGACTACTGATGTCTACCATTAAGGTATGATTATGAAACATCTGTAGATTTCATGGTTTAATATAAAGAACAGTTGATATATTGTTACAATTTATGGGCTCTTTTATGACCTGGTTATTAAACCTCCATTCTGTTTTGATACACTCAAGGGCGCGTTTTCCGGAATATAGTGGATTGGATTCTTCCTATTTAAAAATATTATTCAGATTAACGAAATATTTAGCATGATAGGATATGGTATAATGTAAAATAGTCGTGTAACATAACAGACGCTACCAACAATAATTGCTTAAAAGCTGGGGTCCATTGAATATATTGAGTCGTGTCAGTGAATTAGTGGACAAGTGAGTCAGATAAATTGAACATGACTAGGAAGCGATTCACAACCTGAGTACAAAGCGTGCAAGTGAGAACTATTTTAGTAAAACAAGCACGACAAAAATTAATCCTTTGGGAAAACCCTCCTTGCGTTCGCCGCACAAAGTAATTTCTCTATGACAATCCGGACATTTTTTTAGTGAATTCTACTGTCTGTCTTTATTAGATTCAATTGACATTAACACTGACAGATGACATTTGAAATCTTCTTGATGATATGTTTTCTGTTTGCGCTTCAACAAGTGTTTGAATGTTTGTGCTTGTATTGGCCAGAAGGGCAAATTGGCTCTGAAGATCAGCAGGGCTATTCCCTCCGTCTCGCCCCCCATCTCAGTTTACCCCGTCTCTGCTTGCCCCCACCCCTAGGTGCTGCCTTCCCCCATGACCTTCCGTGTGTCCCGTCTCGCTGTAGCGCGGGCTTTGTACAACGACAACAGCGTGTGGTGTATACAGGAAACAGAGAGCCGTTGCAGCAAGTGCTTGTCATGTGTCGCAATATATGGTTCAGTTCGGTGTTCCGCCTGAGTCAAGAGTTGACCGTCGATCAGTGAGGATGGCAAGGATTAGCATATGGATTATATGTGTGCTGGTGGTGCTGGTGCTGGCCGTGAATGGTAAGTCGTTATTAGCTAAGTAGGTCATGTGATGCTGACTCCTGAAGTTGGCACCATGAACGTTTCGTTGAGTTTTCAAGTTTTCAACCAGTTCTTCTTTTTGATGTATGTTTTTGTATTTAGACTTTTAGGGGGTATAGAAATAGATAGATACATAGATAGATAGATAGATACACAGATAGATAGGTAGAATGGGGGAAATAGAAAGACCGAGAGAGAGAGAAAGAGAGAAGAGAAGAGAAAGAGAGGTGTGAACTTTAGATTTGAGTGAGTTGTGTGAAATTCATACAAGGATGTTGAACTATGTGTATATAACACTATCATTGACACTTGATACATGGACACATATACAAATGTATATATATATTTAGACAGGTATATATGTATACCAATACAGACATATATAAATATATATTATTTACATACAGCAATAATTGATAGGTGAATCGTTGCTACAAGGTAATGCTTCACTTTCAAAACTGAAACATACGTAAGGAAACTGATAACGCCCCGTGTTGATTCGTCGAATTTCATCCGCTTTTGTGTATTACACAAGAGTAAGGAAAGTTACTGTATAACCACATAGCAGGACATATTTAGAGGAGTGTCGTGGCTGCCTCGCCCTTTCTTTAAATTTATGTTCTCCAAGTGTTTTATGTGTGTGACTACTTTATATCATAAACAAACATAAGTTATATTTGATTAAATATAAGTGTCTCACCCAGGTTTAAGCACCGGCCCTATAATTATAAATTTTGAACAATTATTTATTTTTTTTCGAAATTAAAATTGTTATTTGCTCAATATTTCATATTGTTCATAATCATCATTATCTTTTTTTATATGTGTGTTTTCTTTATTAGGTTGTACCGATATTCATTTTTCACTATTTTGTATTGTTTTTTTTAATGTATTGTCTGTTTTTTTATATTTTTTTCGTAATTATTATATTTCATATTATATTTATTTGGGGTTTGCCGTTCGCTTAGTTTGGTTAGAATACAAAGAAAATTATAACCATTTCGTGTTTCAAGTAACGTTTATTACATTAGAAATGGTGAAGAATGAAGAGCCCAGGACATATGTGTGCGATGTGAGCTGATGAATTCCTGCCCGTATGGAGCTTCACAGGAGGCCACACAACAGCCAGTGTGTCCTGGATTCATTAAATTTTCGTACACGATAAAAACATGTGCTTTCTATTACGTTGGTGACAGCGCTAAAAGCTAAAAATAGCTTGGGAGAGGCAGAGGTTGGCCTGAAGAGAGTGGCACGATGGCTGATGAAATTCTGCCTGTTTTAAGTTGACTGAAGCATTTCGACATATGTTGTACATGTTTGAGTGTTTGAGTAGTACGACACACCCAAATGAGTTTAACTATTAACAGGTTCAATGTGTCAGGTTATTTGTTTCTCTGAGTGATGGAGCTGTATGTGGGTTTGTGATTAGACTAACAACTAGTCTCAGAAATGAATATATTTTACAGAAAAAAATGCTCATAGTAAAAAACAAATATAATCAAAATGACCCCTGACACTGTCTTCAATTTATTATCTAGGTATTCCGTTTCGCTATGCTATAGAAAGTACACCTGTTGATACTTTCTTGGGAATCCTTATAACAAAAACGGCTCATTTATCGTTAGACTAACAGCTAGTCTCTCAAATGAACATATTTTACAGAATATAAAAGTTTTTGCATTAAAATCATAAATGCAAAAAAAAGGAGCCCAAAGACTTTCTTCATTTTCATGGATTGTCTGGTCCACACTCGATCGTCTGGTCCACACTCGATTGTCTGGTCCACACTCGATTATTTACAGACCGCCGCCATATAGCTGGAATATTGCTGATTGCGGCGTAAAAATAAACTCACTCACTCACTCTTCATTTTCAGAAGCTGTGGAAAACATTTTCTAGACTTGCGTGGGCTTTCTTGGATATATTTGCTTCAGGGTCTGTATGACAGACTGGCTTGTGATGTTATCGTTATTCTGCCGAACTGTCCTTGAAACGAAAAATATGTGTAGATATGTAAAAGAATGTCTATCAATAAGAAATCAGTATAATGGTTTATATATGGTATGATTGGTACCAAAATAGTTTATTTGAAACACTCTTCCACTCACTTACTCACGCAGAGGAGTGAGTGAGTCAGCATGGTTTTACGCCGCTTTTAGCAATATTCCAGCAATATCACGACGGGGTACACCAGTAATGGGCTTCAGACACTGTGCCCATGTGGGGATTCGAACCCAGGTCTTCGGCTTAACGAGCGGACGCTTTAACCACCAGGCTACCCCACCGCCCCTGTCACGCAGAGGAATGTTTGTGTGTGTGGTTTGCCACAGTGATGAATTAATAAATCATCTTACAGTCGTGCAACCACGCCAGGTTAAGGTATTTGTGTTAAAGGCACCCTAAAGACTGTACATACAAATCCCTATGCAGGAAACTTGCACCTCCAAACTGCACCCATCTCGTCTCAGCCCAAATCCAATCCCAGCCCAACCTTAAAGAAAGAATTGTCTATCCTTATTTGAATATTCACTTCACAAGCCCACTATCCCCTATTCTATCACTATGGCGTCAGATGGAGCAATGCATCAAGTATTTGTTAAACTTCTCATGCAACAGATGGCAGTTTTGCCCCTTTTATTGTTTTCCTCAACCCGAACTCCAAAGCTATATCTCGTATAATGTCGCTCACATTTTATCTCACTGGCCCTGGCATATTTTTTTGTATTCATACAGAATTTAAATTGGCGCATAACCCTCACTCCACACTCATTTATAACTCCCCTTTGTGTGGCGCGCCTCGCGTTGTTTGGGGCAGGTGGTTCGATAGGGACGGGGTTCGGTTACAGCATATATCAAGTCCGTTTTGTTCTCAGAGATTGTTGTGTCCTGTTGGGCGAGTCCATATTTAACTCACAGACACGTTTACCCATCTTCGATATTGGAATGATCTGCTTTCGAATATAAATTCTTGATTATGAGCAAGCATTTTGCATGACAATTGAAGTTCATAGATTGTGTGGACCTGCCAATACCTCCTGTTGAAATATTTTCTGGATGACTTCACCCCTTACCCCATCTTAACCCAAATAGTGTTGATCGTTAATTTCCTTGTCATGCCACACACTAGGCTCCCTGCTAACAATGTGCGAGGGGCGGTAGAAACCTCCCCAATACAACAGGTATTAGTATCCCTACCGTCAAATTTGTAAGCCCACGGTAAGAGTTGAAAAGTGTCCCACCTTCTCCATCCAGCGTACCCTTCGTCTCTGTCATGTACTTTAATACATAAATTATATATAATATATTTATAATACATAGTTATAAATTGCATTACAGCTTCTTTGTGCAGAGAGAGAGAGGGGGAGATAAAGAGAGAGGGCGACGTGAACAATACATTTGTGGGGGTTGTATGGATTTCATATGAGAGAGAGAGAGAAAGAAAGAGAGATGGAGGGAGAGAGAAGGAAAGAGAGAGAGGGTGGGAGGGCAGGAGAGATATGTGGACTATAAACTTAAGTGGGTTTTATGAACTACATTAGCAATGATTAGTCTTCCATACAGACAGACCCTGAAAGTAATATATCGAAGGAAACCCATGCAGATCTAGAATATGTGGCAAGTCTAGATTTCCACAGTTTCAGAAAATGAAGAAAGTCCCAGGGCTCCTGATTATTATATTCTATTTTTTTTATTATGAACATTTTTTTTATTCTGTACAATATGTTCATTTCAGAGACTACTTGTAAGTCTAGGACTACATATAAGGATGTTGAACATAAGGATGTTGTGTGTATGACAACATCTTCACCCTCGACAAGCTTACAGCAAACATGTGTAACATTTCATTATCGACATAGCAGCGTTGAAATGTATCGTTAAGAAATCAATGGGTTATCCCAAATCCCACCTACATTTCCAGTGACGCGCGGAGACCCCTAGCCCCAATATCGACTATTGGAAACGTTCCGTTACAAGACGCCATAACCCGGGCGAGTCTGCTTTATGACCATACCAGACAACAATAGCTCCCCGGATATTGGGGGGCACAGTTTCACCCCAGCAACGTGTCAGCTGCACTATCGCTTGAAACTATCTTAACATCTCCTTTACCAATAACATTAGAAACCCACGTGACAAAATATCAATTTAAAAGCGGGTGTCAGTTATAGCCAATGGAAAAAAGCTCACAACACATTTGAAAGTGATGGTGCCTCTGAAAATATTGATGTTGATTTTGATTTTAAGACTTTTAGGAAATGAACAGTCACACCAAGTGCGGAGCTTCTGAGTTCTCTTTCTGAAATAGATGCAGCTTAGCTGCCGGGGAACTTTGTATAAAACCACGGTTCTGAAAACTTTACTTCTTAAAACCCTCGATACATACACTCATGCCAATAATGGTTGTCACCCCCCTGCCCAACCCAACCCCACACACATCTCACACCCCAACCCCACACCCCCTCTCCAATTAACAAAATTGAAGAGGGTGACAACCATTATTGGCATGAGTATATATATGAGTGAGTGAGTATGATTTTACAGCGCTTTTAGCAATATTCCAGCAATATCACGGCAGGGGACACCATACATTACATATATGTGAGGCCACTGTGACAAATATTTAAATTTTATTTACTATATTCTGAGTGTATGTCTGTATCCTTCTCCGGAACACATTCTGAAGTGTTAATTTAAAAAAAGTGTAAAACGGCCAGAGAAAAATACCCTGGTTAATTCCGTTATTTTAAGTATCAATTCTAAAAGGATTTCCCTAGAAGTCGTGTCCGTCAGGTCAGAAATCCGCCATGAGGGTTAGTGTGACATTTGGGGATTCCAGCCCTTATTGTTATTCTATCAAGGCTGGTGCTGCATTAATGGCGCCGTCTGTAACCTATGAATGTCTGTGGAGTTCCAGGCCCGTTCGGTCTGGGTATCTGTTTACACAACAGATATTGCCTTGGTCTTTTCGTCTTTAAAAT